CGACCCAACAAATTTTTTGTGAAGGAATTTTTAAAATGGGTCGGATATCCGATATATCCGAAAGCTTTTTTACCCACCCGTCACAAAAAGTGCTGCGATTATACTAGTATAGATACACAAGCTTGTACGCGTTAATTAAGTAATTGTTGATTCACTTGTCTCTATGCAAATTTGCATAATGGAATATACGTGTAAAACCATCTAAATATACGCGTGTAAAAGGAAAACGCATGAATCGTATGATGTGTGTTAAAAATTTGGAAAAGTTTTGCTCTTTTGCTGCCACCAAATCTTCATTATTATATTGGACATTACCAATTTAACAAGATGCTCAATGCCATTGGGAGCCATGCGGACTCTAACTTCGCTGGCAATGTTCATATCCTTCCACATCATCTTCTACTCGTGAAAACACACACAACTACACTCACATCTCCAAACACTTGTCTTCATTCATACCATATTTTAAATTCAGTTTAACAATGTTAGTGTCATTTGATCTTTTAACCATACTATATACGCAGTGAAGTTCATATTAAAGTTAATCGTAAATAGCTATTTTTTTAATGGTTTAACATATTATTATTAACATCAAAATATTGATCTCACATAATTTTTTATAACAGTATATAGTATGAAACAAAATTATTAACCAAAATAAATTCATTTTAGATCAAAAAGTTTCAAAAACTCATAATGTTTTTTCATTATATCTTATGTAGCTCACACAAAGAAAACTACTGGCCATGCCCACTATACATGGATTAATAATTCTATTTTTCCAGTAATATAAATATAATATATAAATGTAGGACCACGATTTCTACGACATGACAAAACTGAATAATTGTAATAGTTGATGACAAAAACCAAAAATAAAATACAACAACCGATACCAATATTTGATAAACAAAGAACGGTTTGTGCGGAGGCGAGACACTCTTTCCTTAATTCTTTAATTGCCCGTAGTGTGACGGCTTGACGCAATCAGAATCCCAGGATACAACCGCACCATCTTCTGATTTGCAACACTCAAAATCAGAAGTCTAACGAACTCTAGTAATGTGTGTATTTGATCCATATGTCCATGAGATAAAAATGGAGAGATGAAGCCTTGGTTTTATAGTCCAAGCTCTCAACACTATAATGGAGCAATAAAGGTGAGAATGTTATTGTTATGAGAATGAATTCTCAACATCAATGCCATTGACTCCATCACCTTTAATTGTTGTGAATTAATTTTTGTTGTTACACAATTTATAATTCACATTAAAGGAGATAATTGTTGACTTAATCAACTTACACATTTGGGTAATTAACAATTATCATTTAGGTTATAAGCCCATTTCCCAAATCTCAAAATCTCAAACCCGGTCCGGCTCGACACGATACAACACGGCTCGGCACACATGCCTGGTTTGGATTTCTCCTTTAACTTCCGAAGTGCGACATTTGATCCTTTAGTCAAATTTCAAGTTATCCAAGCTAGCCACTTCGGACCTCCATTTCTCATTCAAACGAACTTCAACTTTGAAAGTTACCCGAAAAAGTAGTCCGGCGCAACTAATCAAAATAAGTTCCAACAATCCCCCACATGAATAGAAATGACTCTAAACATATGACGACTCAAAAGACTTGACCTAACTAGACACGACTCGACAGAAGGACTTTTGAGAGTACAAGCGAAAAATCCACTGTATCTGAGATGGTAGCATTTTTCAGCCTTGAACCACTCATTTTTATAACTGTCGGATTTACTCGGCCAGGTGGTGAACATGATGTCTTGAACCACCCGGGCTTTAGTGTAAACCTAGACAACAGCTATTTCACAGCTTCATTTTCTCACAAAACTAGGTTCTCTTGTTGTGTTCATTTTGGCCCTGAACATGCCTGGTTAATCATGAGTGAACTTGGAAAATATAGCCTCATATATTCTCCTAGAAACGGCCCCATTTCACACTCATAAGGTGATTTGCCATGTTAGCTTTGTTTTTAGAAGTATCCTGCAATACTCCCTTCTATCTCAAAGCTATGGACTAAAATCATTAAAAGCAAACGCTTATCCTCTGTACATAGAGGAAGCACTGTTCATCAACCTAGGAACTGGGAAGAGACTAGAGTCTCACAGTGCTCTAACAAATTCAGTTTGATTTAGTTGTCCCCTTGAACCTACATCTTGGGATCTCCAGTCACGTAGGTGGGGTTACCATCAAACCTCTTCTTAAGTCATAGGCTTTAAACCCATTCCTCTTGATGATATACAACTTGATCTCATGACACACCTTTAACATGGATCCAATAGGTTGTCATTCGATTTGATATAACCTATCGAGATTACACAAAATTGAGATCAGTTTTCTAATGGTTTTACATCATCTTCTTAAAAGACATGACTAACCATTACCCAAAAAAAAAAACTTAGTGCCTAAGCTTTAGCCAATCGACTATCACAATGCACTTGTTTTTTTTTTTCTCACAAAGTTCTAAGGCTACATAGCTTCTTTAGAATTATCTAAAGCTATAAACTCGCCAATAACTTATGTGGTTTCTTGTTGAGGATATTATTTGTGGTAAGCAAAGCTTCCCCCACATTTCCTGGAGTAACCCATATCCTCCAACATTGTATTCAACATCTCTTTAAGAGATTCATCCCAACCATATTGATTTCAGAAACTACAACGCATATGCCTGTTTCAATCATATTGGTTTTGGATTATCATGGGTCAATTTTTACTACGCCATTCGTTAGCATCGCTACGACATTCGTCAATCTTGTGACCCACAAGCCACTCTTGGCAACATCTTCTTTTTTTTTTCTTTTTTTTTTTTGACCTTTTATTAAGCATCAATCTTGCACTAAAAGCGCCAAGAACTGATCTTAAAATCTGATCAACATCAGAACATGGCACAATCACAAGTGGTTGACCACTACCAAACTAAATTTGGTGTGTCGACTCACTAGACTCATAACCAATAACAACTCCACCGCAAACGGTATAACTTGGATCTAGACATTCAGATAAACATCAAAAATCTAGTCCAAATAATCGACAAAATCATATGTGGTTGACCACTCCCAACATGGGGTATCGACTCACAAGACTCATCATCATAAAATTCGCTTCCACGGTTTCATCAATGAGCGGTGTACCATCGTTCTAACCATCAATAAAATCTGGGATTTTTTTTCCTTAGTCATACTCAAAATCGAATCTGTTCACGAATAAACAAAAACAAATTAGTATACTAAACAAAAAACCAGAAATTAAAGATCAAGTAATTTAAACAAATATGAATAAATTACAAATTATAATTAAATTAAAAATTCTCAAATTTAGAAAATTCAGAAATTAACAATTTAATTATTAATGCAAAAACCACAATAATACAATTTAAACTACTAGAATAAATTGCAATCATTGATTAAAATTTGCATAACGATGACTAAGCAAGATCACTTACGTTTTTGTTCCAATTATCACCAATGGACAACACAAATAAACAACAATGATAAACAAACAGTGTCGAGACCTGCTAAGTGCTAACAATTAACACAATATACTTCCCAAAAACTGGAAGAGAACGTGTCCAAAAACAAAAACAAATCATGCTTGGTAATTAAGAGCCAAACCGTAACTTTTTAAACCGGTCAAACAAATCAAATTTCGCTCAATAATAACAATGAACTGCTCCGAATTTTTGTTAAAGACAACGAATTTCAGAACCATAAAACGCCACCTGCAAGCAATATAACATATATATATATATATATTGCATAAAGCAGATTAGTTAACCCAAAAAATCAGCAAAATAAATAAAATAAATTGCAGAAATTCAAAATAAATTCTGGATTTTTTCCAGGGTTCTCAATCCACCAATTTGTAATCGATCCTGATAACACATCCAAACGAGATTGAATCGATCGATGAAACAACCTGTTCTTATCAAAACTTCACAATTAATCAGTTTTTTCGTTAGTATAATAACGAAAAGTTAAAGAATTAAGACTGTAGGACCACGATTTCTACGACATGGCAAAACTGAATAATTGTAATAGTTGATGACAAAAACCAAAAATAAAATACAACAACCGATACCAATATTTGATAAACAAAGAACGGTTTGTGCGGAGGCGAGACACTCTTTCCTTAATTCTTTAATTGCCCGTAGTGTGACGGCTTGACGCAATCAGAATCCCAGGATACAACCGCACCATCTTCTGATTTACAACACTCAAAATCAGAAGTCTAACGAACTCTAGTAATGTGTGTACTCTCAGACTCGATAACTAGAGAAAAGAAGAGGAAGGAGATTGTGATCTTTTTGATCCATATGTCCATGAGATAAAAATGGAGAGATGAAGCCTTGGTTTTATAGTCCAAGCTCTCAACACTATAATGGAGCAATAAAGGTGAGAATGTTATTGTTATGAGAATGAATTCTCAACATCAATGCCATTGACTCCATCACCTTTAATTGTTGTGAATTAATTTTTGTTGTTACACAATTTATAATTCACATTAAAGGAGATAATTGTTGACTTAATCAACTTACACATTTGGGTAATTAACAATTGTCATTTGGGTTATAAGCCCATTTCCCAAATCTCAAAATCCCAAACCCGGTCCGGCTCGACACGATACAACACGGCTTGGCACACATGCCAGGTTTGGATTTCTCCTTTAACTTCCGAAGTGCGACATTTGATCCTTTAGTTAAATTTCAAGTTATCCAAGCTAGCCACTTCGGACCTCCATTTCTCATTCAAACGAACTTCAACTTTAAAAGTTACCCGAAAAAGTAGTCCGGCGCAACTAATCAAAATAAGTTCCAACAATAAAAATAAAAAGTTGTAGACAATGAAATATTTGTCTAGCCACTATAAATAGACCAAAGAGGTTATATTTATTATACATATAGCCGTAATATCAAAAGAGAGAATCAGAGAGAAATAATTCTTATATTTTGCACAGCTCATAGAAATTGCATGCGTTTCGGACATGGCAATCTTACGAAGGACACTGGTTCTGTTACTTATCCTCTTCTGTCTTACCACTTATGAGGTTTATAATTTTGGTCTTTATTTCTCCAAGAATCACTTAAAACTTGAACAATATTATTATACTCAATCCATGTTTATGTATTATTATAATGATGATGATGACTGATCATTCTCTTCAGCTTCACGTTCACGCTGCTGATGACGCAAAGGTCGGTGAAGGCGTAGTGAAAATCGGTACGTAACCCTAAGATATAACATGCATGTTGGTATATAACTTAATATTTATCATGGAGAATGTCTCAAGCTTTAATGAGATGTTATATCTCGGAGAAGCAAACTATGGACTAAAAGCTTGGGATTCCTTTGCAAAAAAAAAAGAAATATATACTTAAAACGGATTAAGTTAGTTACATGTGTATGATGAATGCATGAATGTATGTATGTATGATTGTAGATTGTGGTGGGAGATGCAAAGGTAGATGCAGCAAATCTTCGAGAACGAAACTGTGCTTGAGAGCGTGCAACAGCTGTTGTACCCGATGCAACTGTGTGCCACCTGGTACTGCCGGAAACCACCACCTTTGTCCTTGCTACGCCTCCATTACTACTCACGGTGGCCGCCTCAAGTGCCCTTAAATTTCTGTTTCTATTTCAATATATATATATACACATGTGTGTATGTTTATTTCCAGAGCCGGTCCATGGCATAGGTCTATGAAGCATTGGCTTGCGGCCTCAAATAATATAGTTAATTTTCGGCCAAACATTTTTGAGAAGTTTCTTTAGTCTAATGGTCTATTCTTATGAGAATAATGTTTCATGTTCAAGTTTACATAATAGCCTTTTTCTTTTTTTTTTCCGTTTTTTAAAAACAAAACATTAAAATAAAACGAAAAATAATATAAGAAAATTTTGGGATTAAAAATAAAATGATTTTACTTAAACAAATATTAATAAAAAAAAGCAATAAACCTTAAAACTTAATTAAGACGTCGTTTGCTCTTCTTCTTCCTTCTTGGTCTTGCAAAAAGCAATAATGAAGCAGCCTTTTTTTTTCCCTTTGCTTGTGGCCCTCATAAACGTTGAGCCGGCTCTTTGTATTTCCTTTGAGCAAGTACTGCTATGTTTTAAGAGGACAAAAGTATATGTATGTGCAGCTATAAACTAATTAGAAGTTAATGTTCATGTTGAACTTTGCGTAGCTAGTATCAAACCCTGTTACTTTTGAACAGCCAATTTCGGTTTGTTCTAAGTTTAGCAACCCTGAATAAAAAAAATCCAAATAATTAGAGACTACAAGAAAATATATCATTTAAAACGATGAAATAATTAACAACAAAATTTTTTATTATGTTTTCATGTTTTTTTAGCGGTAATACTATTTTGCAGAAGCGTTAAATCAATACAAATACAAATCTTAATCTGGTTTTGGCAATGAATATGATTCGGATCTATTCTTGAAATGGTCTCAAAAACTAGAGTTGAGATCACAATAAGAAAATCAATTACAAACTAATTGAACCCTTTCGTTTGTTGATATATCAAAGCACTTTCTTTTTAAAACGTTTATTGCTCTCTAGAATCTCTCTTTATATTAATGTTTAAAAATATATGTTTCGTGTTTTTGTATCTTCGTTTTCATAGACAAAAGCAAGAGGAGCCTTTAGAAAGACACCAATGTCATAGAGAGACATGAATGACTTTAGTATCTTATTTGGATGCGTTCACACCCGACATATATTTTCCTTTGAGTTGTGCGATTTAGAGACCCTCCAGGTGATAAACAAGGTTCCAATGCGTCCTAGTTACTTTTTCAAACTGTCAAGATACAAGCTGCAGCTCAAGTTCCCATATTTTGCCTCAAGTTACATTAAAAAAAAAAAAAAACTCATATAAAAAAAGTCACATTAAAACCTCCAACGGTTGTAGAAGTTCTTTTAGTCCATTGGTTGACTAATAATTCATTAATGCTTTTATACCCTGAAGTCTGGGGTTCGAGTCCCAGATACTACGATTTATTAAGAAATTTGCGGATTATTGGAGGCAAGTGTGCAGGAGATCTCCAGCGATGTACAATTATAGCCGTTCGCCAGGATTTTACACAGAAAAGGAAGTGTCCATCAAAACCATGAAAAAGGATGTGAAGGAGGTAAGCATGAAGAATGAGGTGAAAGAGGTGAAGGAGATCGTGAATCTAATAAGGGTCGGAAAGAATTGTTCGTTGTAGAATCGTTTATGTAATAGTTCTCATAATTTACAATAAATAATAAATCCAGACGACAAAAAAAAAAAAAACCTCCAACGGTTATATGCTTCAAGTTTGATTGATATGTTTCTTTATTTAACTTTTTAAAACGTAAGGCTAGCTTCAACTTCGAGTCTATATAAGCTCATTTCGTTTTCATTTGTATGCACCATTCCATTTGAGAAATATTCCGTAAATGTTTTACTTATCTTTCATTCAAGTGTGGATTCACTAAAGCCCTGTTTATTTGTACATCTTGATAATGCATCCAGATGATCCATTCAGATGATGTATCTGGATGTTGTTCGTTTCTTAATTTAGTAGGCCATCTGGATGGAACATCTGAATGAAGTTTTGTTCGTTTGATTAGTCTTTTATGTGTCGATATGAGTGAATTAGCTTGATGATTCAAGTTGGTTAAGAGTGTGTTGTTTAAGGATTCAACAACAAATACCCCCATCTCTACTTCTACCTTCATCCATTCTATTCATCACATGCTTGAATATTTGCTTTTGTTTGATTAAATCATCGGGTGGATTCCCGTGTTTATACAAGAACCTGAAATTGGTTTTAAAGCACAACCAAAACTTGAGATTGGACAATGCTTTAAAAGGAAAAAAATCAAAGGAAACCATTACGGAGCCAATATCAGAAACTACCCTGACACTCTTCAAGGAACAAAACCATATCATGGATTAGGCTGACAATTTTATTTTTAGAGGTCATTCTTGTCTACAAATCATACTCGAATCTTAGGTAATAAAGATCCGCTAACTAGGATATTATAATATCTATTTTGGACGTTTGTCATGAAGGTCATCATGGTGGACTCTTTTGAAGTTAAAAGTTAGGTTGTTATAGGATTCCAAGAAGAGAAAGGAATTGAGAATGGAAATCCTTGAAGTTCTTGGAATGTCTATTTTTGGTAATCCATAGCTATTAAGAGGTTAAATGATGATGATTTAGGTTTGTGAATCTGTCACAACGAAAGTAAAGATGAAGATCATGAAGCTATTTAGCAATATCTTTGGTATGAAGATTGATTTACTCGTGTATGTGGTAACAATGTATTTAGTAGCTGAGTGTATTCTAAATCTAGGAGTGTTTCTCCTACATCTTTTGTTTGCCAATAATGACTTCCAAAACGGATTCACACGCGTTCGTTGAGTAATAGTTGGTTCACTTAACCAGGAATTGTCTCCTAGTGGTAAAAGGCCCCCAGCTGGGGGTACCGCCACCTGGATTCGATTCCTGGTCACTGTGGTATTCACATACGGGCTGCAGCGTTCCAGGAGCCGACACGTGGAGAGCCATTTAGCCGTTCACGTGGCTAGTCTGAGCGAACCGATAGCGGTGCAAACACGTGGACCCTTGCTCTGTCGGAAAACCGATAGCGATGCAAACACGTGGACCCTTACTCTGTCGGCGAGCGTTAGGAAACTTGGGTTATCAAAAAAAAAAAAAAAAAAAAATAGTTGGTTCACTTGTGTTGATGCAAATTTGCATACCTCGTAGTTAAAATATACGCGTGTAAAAGGAAACGCGTGAATAGTATGATGGGTGTTAACAAAGTGGAGATGCCACCAAATCTTCTTATTAAAATGAATCGTGAAGGATATTACCACTTTTAACGATATGGTCATTACCATTGGGTGACATGTGGACTCTACTTTGGTGGCTTGTTCATATCCTTCCACATCATCATGTAAACGTGAAAACACCCACCACACTCACTTACACGTCTTCATTATATATTATCGTACGTAGCTCACAAAAAATATATGAAAAACTAGCTTAGGTTTAGTGATTCTCTTTTTCCAGTGTATAATATACAAAAGTTGTAACAATAAAATATTTGGATAAGCACTATATATATATACCCAAAGAAGTGTTAGATTTATATACTTAAATACCAAAACAGAATTACAGAGAATAGTTTATACACTGCACGAAACTGCATACTTTTTCAGACATGGCAATCTTCCGAAGTAAACTGTTTTTTTTGTTAATCCTGTTCTGTCTCACCACTTATGAGGTTCATAATTTTTGTCTTTATTTCTCCAAGAATCATTTGCATCGTCTTATCCTTAATTCATATGTGTTTGATCGATGATAATGATAATAATTCATCATTCTCTTCAGCTTCATGTTCATGCTGCTGAAGCTACACAGGTCGGTGAAGGCGTAGTGAAAATTGGTACGTAACCCTAACATGTAAAGTAATTCTCTGTTTATATGAGTTTTAAACGGTTAAAAACTAGTCATATGTGTATATAAATATATCATGTGTAGATTGCGGTGGGAGATGCAAAGGTAGATGCAGCAAATCGTCGAGGCCAAATCTGTGTTTGAGAGCATGCAACAGCTGTTGTTACCGCTGCAACTGTGTGCCACCTGGTACTGCCGGAAACCACCACCTTTGTCCTTGCTACGCCTCCATTACTACTCACGGTGGCCGCCTCAAGTGCCCTTAAATATATATATACAAAGATGTGTGTATGTGTCTCCCGCGAGAGCACACACTTGTGTTTTGAAAGACAATAGTATGTATGATGTTAATGGTTCATGTTGAACTAGTATGAGTTGTATGAACTGTGTTTCTTTTGAACAACCACTTTGTTAAGTTTAGCAACACTAACTATTATCTAAATAATTAGAGACTGCAGTAAAACACAAACACGTTTTAATCCGAATAGAATATCGCATGTGCACAGTATAATCGCAGTAGTATTTTGGAATCGAATCTATATGGACCAAGTGAATGTACGTTGAACATTTAAAATAAATTAGGATGCAAAGAAATTTTCTGAAACTCGGGGTTTTAGTTGACAAATAAAAATTAAATAAAAGAACTAAAAGAATAAATAAAATTAGTATAAATAACCAAAAATAACCAAAAATCTCAGACAGAAAGAATTATCATGATTCATGATAGTAGAAGAGATAATTAAATAGAATTGTATAAAAACCGTTTAACTCAAATCGCGAATATAAAACTAACTTTCTTTCGTAGCATTAACTATAATGTCATTTTTAAGTCAGGGCAGTGAACCATTTTTTTCTACAACGAATTGGTAAAGTCAGGGAGAGCATCCATGTTTTAGCCCTTTGGTCATTTTATGACAAAATTATCCCTGCCTGCATAACCAGAGTGTACAATATTTGTGTATGAATTAGTTAAAAGGTTGTAGTTAAGTACAATGTCTCGTTAGTTACAGTACCCACGTGTTCGATTGGTTTTAGTAACTCTACAGTGTGAAAAAAGAATAAAAAGTTAAAAAAAAATATGCTTTTAAAGAAGCACTAAAAGAAATATCTCCATTCTTAGCTTGAGAAAAATGCTATTATAAATAATCAATAGCGTTTTCATAAATGCTATGTTAGACCCCTGTTATGGTAGAACCCCCACATATGATAGCGTCAGATATGTATGCTATCTTAGAGTGTTATACCATAGCATTATCTAAACGCTTTGTTATCAGGATTTTCTATTTTTTAAAAATTATGTAATTAGTCATTTTCCATGCTATGGTAGGTGTTTATACTATAGCTATGTTAAAAAGCTTTAGTTTTAATTTTTATAGCTCCAATATATGCTATGATTCAGTATATCATAGCGTTTAATTTAAAGAAAAAATTATGTAATTACTCGTTTTGAAAGCTATGATAGACTTTTCTAACATAGCAGTTTTTCTAACAGTTATTTAGATGCTATTATATGCGTTTTGATCACAATTGTTTCTGGTTGAGATAGACACCAAACCTGTTTCATATAATACCCTGATTCATCAATGATTCGAAATACAACATACATTAAACACTAGCATAAATCCAGAACATACACAATAAGTCTCAAACCGAGTTCTACTTAGTATCCAAAACGAATTAGTAGCATAAATCCAGAACACACACAACAAGTCTCAGACCAAGTTCTACTTAGTATCCAAAACAAAGTAGTAGGAGGACAGAATACCTTAAGACATGATCACTTTGTCCTCAGGCCATGCAATGACTGTGCCAAGGGCATCTTCCATTATGGCTATTTCCTCTGATGGCCTCCAAACTGATGCATCGCTGACTTTCACAATATCTACCCATACTTTGACAGCATCAAGACCCAAGGGAACAAAGTGAACCTTCTGTGCTGGATCGTTTGTAGCCCAGCGTCCTTCAGCAACAACTCGCTTCTTTCCAGTAATATCCATCAACTTGCACTTCTTATTTTCCTTGGAAACAATTGGATTAAGACGCTGCCATGTAAACAATATGAACCAACACTCAGAAGACTTGACATAAGAAACTTAATTCATAACATTTACAAAACTTATACCTGAGATTTCCGGAGAGGAGATTGTGGATTTGGTAGATATTTCTTTATAGGAGAGCTTTGAACACCTGCATCCTCAATAGGAGATTCTGAACCTGTTGCTGGAGACTTAGACACTGTTGATGCTGCTTTTACCTCTGTGGCTGCAGACTTTGTCTCATCTGAAGATTTAGAGCTTGATGGCCTATCAGTTGATGCTGATTTCTGAAGAGGAGATTTCTGACCAGTTGTAGTTGTAGGATTTTCAAAAACAACTTTATTCACAGGCCATGATACAAAAGCCATCAAGCAGTCCTCAAGGTATGTCATTTCAATTGTAGGCCTCCATATAAATGTTTCAGGTATCTGCACTGAATCAACAAAAACTTTGACAGCCTTTGGTCCTAGAGGAAGACCATTAACTAATGCAGTTGGTTCTTGTGTCTGCCAACGACCCTCAGCAACAATCACTTCATCTGTAGACAAATCCAACAGTTTACATTTGTTCAAAGAATTTGTTCTTAAGCCCTGTCAAACACATTCAGAAAAAGGATAATTAGTCTACTAAAGCTCATAAAAATATCAACTCATTAGCAGGCTGACCAAAACTTACCGTTGGCGCAATGTCTTCTATATTAAGCTCTTTGTCTACAAGAACACACTTAGAGGCTGGGCATGCAATAATTTGTCCAACAGCTTCCTCGATAGTAAACATTTTTGTTGCAGGTCTCCACAGGAATGCATCAGGTTTAGTAGCAGTTTCAACCAAGACTTTGAGATCTGTCAGGCCTAGACGACAGTCATTCACTATGTCATCAGGATCAGAAGAAAGAATACGGCCCTCACCAATGTTATCATCAGAACCCGACCAGTCAACCAACACACACTTAGGGTGTGCTCTTTTGTTTACACTCTACAAAATGTTAATAACAAGTATAGGTCAGAATGGAAAACTGATCTAACAAAACCAAGCAGCAGGAATCACTTACTCTTGCAGCTGAGTTTTCACCAATTTCAGCTTCATGTCTCTGTAAAATGAACAAGAAAGTCAATTCAATAACTATTTCAAACATCAGTTGCTTAATGAATAATCTGGGAACTCTTAAGGTTCTAACCTGATTCTTCATTCTGCTAATTTCATCCTCCAACTCATGCACCTTTTTTACTAATTGAATTTGCTTCTCTTGCATATCAGTCATACACTTGGTCTTCACCTGGAAACAAGCTAGTTTGGTTTTGCTCATGCCTCTACCCATTGCTCTCAGCCTTCCAGGGTTGTCAGGTCCTAGCAGTTGAGAGAGGTGATCCTCCTCTGGATTTGTTGTATCTGTTGGAGCATCACTTCCAACCAGCTCAGCTGCCTTCCTCTGTAAAACAACATCCATATATTGTGGAAGAGAAGCAATGGAAAATATTCTAGAAGACAGTCAAACATATTTTCAACTTACAATCTTTTCTGCAGCATTTGTATTCACTGGCGTACCATCCTTTTTGGTACGCGACTTCACCCAAACCTTTAGCCTTGTCACTTCAGATGGATCTCCACTCTCAATTTTCTGTGTGAAAATCAGAAAACCATTCAGAGTAGATATATTTCTTCAGAGGAAACAACAAAGGTAGTGTAAGCTTACCATTTCTTCTGCTAGCCTGACCATTCCTTTCCGGCTTGTAGTGTGAGGTATCTGTTTCTTCCTCCTTTCTTTATATTTGTCACTCACAACCTAAAGACAATTAATATTAATAATCAACATTCAATAAATTTATCTAACATAATTCCAAGTCAATACCTTAAAGTCTGCACTAGTCTTGAGTTTGACAAATTTACGCCATTCTGTTGGAGAAATATTCATTGGTCTTAGATTCATTCTTTGGTGGTTATTCGGAGCTAAATTAATATTCCTGACAATGCGTGACTTGTATGACCTCCACAGACCCCCCCATTTGCTTTAGCACAGCAATCCTTTGGAACTCCTCATCAACCTCAAACCTTGCCTGCATTCACTTACCATCAAAACATAATAAGAAAAGTAAATGTGGTCTAATTACTTTCTAGGTAAAACTATTCTAACTGTAAAGAAGATATCACCTGAACAGATCTCCAGAGAACTGTTTTGATATCCTGACTAACACTCTTCCAGCTATAATTTATTCACTTAGGTATAAAGAATTTTAAAGTATTCAAAATTCAACTAATTTTCTGGGTTTTGATTCACTTAGGTATAAAGAATTTAAAAGTATTCAAAATTCAACTAATTTTCTGGGTTTTGCGACAAGAAATTAAGCGTAATCTATAGGAAAAAGTGTGAAGTATAAAGAAAAATTCTAATTTGTGTTATAATCTATTCACTTAGGTATAAAGAATTTTCAAGTATTCAGAATTCAACTTCTGTAATTTGCAGATGTAATCAAATTCACTATATTCAATTTTCATATTTTAAGATTTTTTTTTTAAAATCTAAATTAGATAGAATGTACTTTCTAATTTTTATAGAATAAAAAAAATCTTAAGAATATGTTTTCTAACATTCTTAGAACATGAGTAAATGTTAGAAAAAATATTCTAATTTTTGTAGAACAAAGAACAAAGTATAGAATATGTATTCTAAAAGTCGTAGAAACTAGTATTCTAAATACCGTAGAACAGAAATGACTTCTAAATTTTGTATAACATGTAGAGTGTGTAGAATACATAATCTAAATTTTGTAGAACATGTAAAGTGTATAGAATATACATTCTGATTTCAGAAGACATATTCTAAACTTTATAGATCAAATTATATCCATCTAAAACGAAAAAAAATATATATATATTTTTGACATTTTATATATCTTCATGTCTTCTTTATCATTTTAATACATATTTTTCTTAATTATTTTTGAAACAATTGGTTCAATCTTATGCAAGGGGTAGTTTAGGAATAGTTGATATTTGTTCATAGAATTCATATATGGACAAATACTTAAATATTTATCTTTTATTTCCAATTTTCTCAAGAAAAAAAGAAAATTTAAAGTGAAATATTAATTTGTAAGAGCAATATACTACAAAGAGTTTTTCTTTATTATTAAATGTTCACTTAAGAAAATTTACTAAAACCAGCTTAAGAATTTTAATTGAAGTCAAAGATATTGAAAGAGTCACATTACCCGATACACTTAACCGCAAGGTAGTATATACGAGATCGATCCACAAGAACCAATGGTACACTAAAGATTTTCGAGACTCGTTCTTAGCTAAAGCTAAAAGATTGTTTTGTTTTGGGTTTTCGGAATTGTAAATAAAAATGCAATTAAAATAGACGATTTAACTTCAAGATTTAAAGACATTGGGCGTTAGGGTATTTCAGAGATCAACGAATAATGGAAACATGAAACCAGGAATTCAGTAATTAAGAACCGTTCTCGAACATGAACACATTTAAACCAATTCTCTTTCAAGACATTAATCACTAAATTTGACTATTCAATTACTAAACTTTCGCATGCAATTTCCTAGTCAAATTCGCATTACCAAACAAATTCATTAAGTTCACAATGCGTCCTAACGTCAACTTTCGTTAGCTAGAAATACATTGCTCAATCCACATTCTTTCAGGCATTCTATTGAACACTTTTGATGCATAGAAAAACCTAGAATCTACAACAGGGTGATCAATCCTATTCTAGCATTAAGAACATGTGAATCAAAGAACCTAGAGAATGAGAATTCCTAACACAATCAATCCATTAATCCATTGAATCTCCTAATTGGAACCCTAAAACCCAATTGGAGAACTACTCACACATAGAGAAAGAGAAAAGGCAAATAGATATGAAAGAAAACATGATTCAATAAAATAGAAAAGGAATAGGGTTTAGAAATCTTCTCCAAGTGTCAAGAGGATGGATTCCTTTGCCCAAAGTTTTAGGAGATTTGTAAAACTATAGAAACGTACATATCTTAAAAAATCAAAAACGTTATAATCTATCTGCTAAAATAATTAATAACAATGGTTATATTATTCAAGAGTTGTATTACAAAATATACGATATGTAAGTTGTTAACAAAAAATAGTGATACGTAAATTATGTAACATATCTCTTAAATAGAACTACAACTATATAACATAATCAATTAGAAAAATACGTTTGAGAATTTATCATTTAAATCATATATTTTTAACCCCAAAAAATGATGAAAACAACATATTTATTGTATATTACGTTTCTATCTAACAAGACGATGTTAAAGTTGCATCACAAGATTAAAATCTTAAAATAACAAAAAACAGTAAGCCAAATAGTCGTTTGAAATAAAAAGAAAGCGGTAGGCTAAATAGTGGTATGAAATCGATTATAGTTTTTTTTTTTTTTTTTACAATTATAGTATTTTAAATGAAGATGAAGTTACTTTATTTAAGTGTTGGATATGTAATTGTTTTGAAAAAAAAAAAATTTCATAGATATTTTTAAGTGCATCTAAACATTAGATTATGCAAATATAAAATATTAAATATATATATATATATATATATATATATATATTTTCAAATAAAATACAACATATATATTAGTTAAAATTTTAATATTTAGAGTTATCTTCAACTGTTATAATTATAAATATTTGATCTCTATAAAAACATAATATATTACAAAACCCACGTAATGCGGATCATTTTATAGTAATAAGAAAATAGTACATTAGGAAAACATCTTTAGTTATATGCAATTTAAATTAGAACAAACAAAAAACAATTAATTGGTAAATATGAATGGCACATTCGCCAAATTGAAGATTCCGTTTTAAAGGAGAGAACAAAAAATAAACCATTATACAGTACACTCAAAAACCTATATAACAACATATTAACCAATCACAATCATTACAAAAAAACAACCCAATTTTAGTTGTTAATTAATAACAATAATCAAGTTCTTTTAACAGTTCATCGAGACATGCTAACTCTATATAAGTAGATAAAGTGGGCCAACACTTCTCATTATCTCTTAGAACAAGTATTGATAAACAACAAGTTTTTCTTATTTCCATATACCTTAAACTAAAGAATAAGATGGCAAGCATTACTTTTGCGTTTAAGGCTTTGTGTGTGTCTCTCTTGTTCATTGTTGTTGCAAGTCGTCCCACCGGAAGACCAAAAGTTTTCAATGTCCAACGCCATGGTTCTAAACCGGACGGCAAAACGGATAACGCCAATGTATGTACATGGGAACTTTCCTAATTTATTTATTACCACAAACGAAATTAACTTATGTCATCTTAAACCTATGGTCCTATACAAACTTAGGCATTTACAAGTGTATGGAGCCGTGCATGCAGAAGGGAAAGTGGAAGAAGTAAAATCTATGTACCAAAGGGAACATTCTACCTCGGTGGTGTAGAGTTCGTGGGTCCCTGCAAAAATCCTATTGAATTCGTCATCGATGGAACTTTATTGGCTCCTGCGAATCCTAGCGACATTAAGCAAGACACATGGATCAACTTTAGGTACATCAACAATCTCTCTATCTCCGGTTCCGGTACACTTGACGGCCAAGGGAAACAATCTTGGCCACTCAATGACTGCCACAAAAATCCCAATTGTCCTAAACTAGCTATGGTAACATTTTTTTAACCTTTTTCAGTTATTGTTTCATTTTAAAAGATATGATTATTATTTACATTTAAAGCGATCGAGTCTTTTAATATACTTGAAATTTTTCTTAAGACTATGGGATTTGCATTCGTGAACAACTCAAATATCAAAGACATAACATCACTCAACAGCAAAATGGGACACTTCAACTTCTTCTCCGTCCATCACTTTAATATTACTGGCGTCACTATAACAGCTCCCGGCGATAGTCCCAACACCGACGGTATCAAGATGGGTTCATGTAGTAACATTCACATCTCCAACACAAATATTGGTACCGGAGACGATTGTATCGCCATTCTTTCTGGAACCACTAACCTTGATATCTCTAACGTTAAGTGTGGTCCCGGACATGGGATTAGTGTCGGAAGCTTAGGGAAGAACAAAGACGAGAAAGACGTGAAAGACTTAACGGTAAGAGACATCGTGTTCAACGGCACAAGCGATGGTATTCGGATCAAGACCTGGGAATCTTCAGCTTCGAAGATCCTTGTTTCGAACTTCATGTACGAGAA